GCTCCCCTCAGCAGTTTACTTTGTCAGTCTGCCCGTTCTGCTGCCCACTCTGTCTCTGGTGAAGCCCCTCACACCCCTGCACCTCTGGCCAGTAGCCCAGTTCTGTATGCCTCAATAAATAAATCTTAAAAAAAAAACAATCAATACAACAACAACAACAAAAAACTAACACCAACTTCTCATGAACTGTCAGACTTCTCGTTTTAATCTTTATATGCAGATTTGGGCATAAGGTATACTTTCTCTTAATGTCCAGGCTCTGTGTGCTGCTGTAGTGAAGCCAGATGTTCTGGAAACAATGGCATTGCTGTTCAGTGGGGCAGATGTGATGTGTGCGACTGGAGACCCCATGCACAGCACCCCCTACCTGCTGGCTAAGAAGGCTGGACAGAGTCTGCAAATGGAATTTCTCTACCATAACAAATTCTCAGGTTGGTTCTTACTCTGAATATGCTTATTCTGCTATATCCCTAAAAATCTGAAGTACAATTATATTGATTGCTCATACAAGAGAACTGTCGGTATGAAGAAAGATGCAATTTCCAAAAAGATGCTCCAAACTTTTCTTTCAAGAAAAAAGATGGGGAAATAAAGCTTTTATGTTCTTTAATCTTCTAAAGGGAAGATTAAAGTAGTTAATCCTACATAATCACTTTCATCAAAATTAAATCTGATTTTCATATGTGAATAATAAACACAACTTAAGTACTTATTTGCAAATTTTGTATAAAGTAAAAATAAGGACCTCTGTATATTCTGTGGTAAATTAGAACTAGTTTTCTTTTTGCCTAGAACTCACCTATATACGCATAAGCAAAATTATTATTTGCCTATTAGGTATCAAGTGTATTATTTCTGTAATTTTTCTAGATTTTCCTCAGCATGATGTTCATTCTGAAGCTGGGTTAAATCAGGAGTCCTCCCAGTCCACGTTCCTCTGTGACTTTTTGTATCAAGCACCTTCTGCAGCTTCAAAACTGTCTGCGGAGAAGAAAGTGCTCGAAGGTATCTTTGCTGCTGCTTTTAGATTTTATTATCTGATAAACCTTTATTTCATTATCAACACAATTAAGTTTATATTTTGATTTCCCCCCTTAAGATGTTAGATTTGATCTTGCAGGAGAGAAATATTTTTTGAGGATTTAGAAGTGCTTCCAGGCACAGATACTGTTTCATGTTCTGCAGGATGATTTTACCACTGGGTTAGAATGCTGAGTAAGTTTTCAACAGATTCCACTGATGTCTACCTTAGGGCCAACAAATTCTGTTTCAGGATTTAACAGTTTTTCCAAAGAAATGCCAGGCTCAATCCCTTCCTTTTGGGGACATACACCCTAACAGGAGAGATTAAATAGATAAATGTCAACACCTAGGAGGAATTAACAAGTTTTCAGTACATATCCTTTCAGCAAACTAAGTGATCTTAAGTAGTTCAATTTGTTCTGTTTATAAGCGTGTGGGTATGTGCATAAGCAAACTGAATCATAAACATAGTTTCATACAAAAGATCAGAAATACTCCAATTTTATAACATTTTTTTAGGTGTGGGGGATTACCTGAGCAGAATCACAGGGAACATTTGTCCCTTTCTCTACCAGCTCCTGTGCAGGCAGTGCTGAACATTTAGAATTCAAAAATAAGGCCCAGGCCTCATGCTCCTGTGCATACATCCAAACTAATTTGAGAGCCATAGGCAGGAAAAATTGTAATGAAACCTGTCTCAGTGAAACCAAGAGAATCTAAGACAGAGTGAGTTGTGTAGGCCAGTGGATGGCGTTATAGGCTCAGGAGCCTAGTATTCATGCCCTCGGAGTTCTCTTCTGGTTCTGTTATGTGATCAGAAGAACTGAAGGCAGATAAACTCACTTTAGAGGATTAATCCTGACCCTTGTTCATTTGAAGCGACTATTTCAGTATGAATACTTTATTTGCAACACAAATTTGATGGCTGAGCAGCATTTTGAGATTGACTGTACTTGGTTAGATTTTCCTGCAGATGACAGCGGGCCTTTAGGAAGCATGTACTGTGTGTGATACTGCATTAGGTACTTCACTCGCATTAGTTATAATCCTCATAAAAGCTCTGCATGATCGCTGACATCCTGCTGATTTTCACATGGAAAATGGAGTCACTCAGCATGATACAGAATTTTACACCTGATCTGTGTGATAATTGGGATTCTAGCACTTCGGCTTGGTCAAAGTATGATGGCCTGTTGACTGTAGGGTGACAGAGCATTATTCTTTAAATTTATTAGTTTTTGATCTTGCAGCAGCTGTTTTTTAAATATCTTTCTTGACTTAACTTGACCAATAATAAATGACAAGTTCTGTAAAGTTCTTCTTCATCTTCTCTTGTTCCTGTTGTTATTTAAGCCAAACAGTCAAAAGTTGACTAATTAGAAGGAAATAGTCCCTGAATAATCTATGACTATTCTCTACCAATCATTAAAGTATTTGAATACTGGGCCCTCCCTGGTGGTGCAGTGGGTAAACTTTGGCGCTTTGGTGCTTAAAACTGTGTGCATACCCAACCAAGAGCCATGTGGTAAATGTTTTTTGGTCATCATTCTAGTCACTTTACTACCAGTGTGAAAGTACAGTAACTTGTTAGTGATTTTTTTGATCCTCAAATAAAATTAGACCACTGTGGGCACAAAACATATTTTGTTTCTGAAAGAAACTACTTGAAAAATGAAGAAGAAAATGTCAGACTACGAGGCAGAGTTAAGTTCCGATTTGTTTTGTGTGTTTTCCTCAACCTCCCAAGATTCTGCAGCACTGTACTATTGAGCGGCCCTAGCTTTATGGGAAAAATGAATTATTTGGAAAGATTTAGAGATTAAAGTGTGTTTGTCGCTTTTGCCTCTGAACTGCTGGCACCTAGACCTCAGTGCTCCATCAGTCCCTGTCTGGACGGCCATAGAGCAAAATGATTAAAAATGGAGAAAAAAGTCAGAAAATGAAGTGCATGCAGCCCTTTATAGAGGCACAGAGGCTGCAAATTGTCAGTGCGGGTTTTAGGATTTGAAGTTCTTCTAGCCTCTGGTTATGAAGACTGATCTGTATTTCTCTCTCTCTCTCTCTCTCTTTTTCCTTCTCAATTTAATGTTCACAAAAGAGAGATTGATAGCTCTTGTTAAACCTAAGTACAGAGCTGAATAATAGCATCCTGGTTCTGTTTTCTGTTTTTGTTTCCTAAACCTTATTTTTTTTCCTTTGGTATCTTACTATGATTTGTTAACACTGTTTTTTAAAAAAGAAAGTGGTGGATATGATTTACTGGAAACCCTTATCATCTGCTTACATTTAATTCCATAGATTAACATTGAGGAGTTTTGAAGATTTTTTTTTAAAGATTTATTTACTTATTCATACAGAGCGCTGGGGTACAGGCCAGAGTTGCAGGGGGTCAGAGGATTCACCAGAAACAGAGAGGGGGGTGCAGAACAGGCAGACTGATGGAGTACACTGCTAAGGGGAGCAGTGGGCAGGTCAGGAGAGGTCTGCCGCACCATTTGGATCACTGACAATCTTTATTTTTATAGACAGAACATAGCTTAAAAGTATTTCTCCACGTTTAAACCACACTTATTTTCAATGAGAAGTATTCCTAGCGTGTACTGCTATTATTAATGCTGAAATTCTTTTCAGGAAACAGCTTTATGGTTTCAAAAAATAATAGATTTGCTTTAACTACCCAGATTTTATATATGTAATAGAAGGTATGTTGTTTGCTCTACCCCAGTACATTTTAAAATGGGCATGCACACTTCAAATGTGTGAGAGAGGAGAGTGATGAAGAGTGATGTAATGACAGGACCTTGTGTCATTACAGGGCAGAGAGAGGGACCACTGAACCCCTAAACCTGCCTGCTCTAAATAGGTCCTGCCATCGGCCGCATCAAGACAATACATAAGAGCTTTAATGGAAAGGGACTTTAATATAATGAGTATACAATACAGAAAACAAAGAATATAATTTTTAAATCAAAACACCCATAGTTACCTACCCTCTTGTGGGTAAAAGTCCACCCAAAAGGGGTTGGCCCAAAGCTAAGCCTGAAAGCTGCCACAAGACCGAAGCACCTTCTGGCCAGAAACCATAGAAAGGGTCAGAAATGGCCAGACAAGTCTGGGAGGAAAAGAGCACAATCAAAATGAACATAAACACTGCTAGTGAACCTCTCCATGGGTATCTTACCCACATCTCTTTCACCCAGTCCAGGGCCAAGAAGCAAGCACAGTTTGTTCACATGCCTCTCTGCTCCATGTGGCTACCTCAGGTCACCTTCTGGCTCTCCATCCGGCTTCCTTCTTTTTCAGACTCCTTCTCTTCTCAGCTCCACTCTCCTTCTGGGTGGGACAGGGAACTTGGAACATCCCCCTTTCTTGGGTACCTCCCTATTACACTACCACCAGCTGTGGTGCTAAGTATTTGAGTGACCCTGTGAGAATCCATCAAACCCTGGGTGCCTATGGGCAGGCTACAAGGGACACAGCGAAGCCTAGGATTCAGTGAGTTAGAGCAGATAAGATGTGTGGACTAGTGTGTGACCATCCATGCGGTGAGGAGGCGAAGGTGACGAGAATAGTGGAGGAACTCTGAGTAGACAGCTATTGTGGTTTCCAATTAACCTTTGAGCTTAGGTGTGTTCTACAGGCTGTCTGTAGCTGAATACCAGGGTGCCCAACTATAGCATCCAGAGCTCTTCTTAGTGGTATTTTAATAGATCATCTCTGGAATTCTTTGTCTTTTCTTGAGTAAATTTCAGGAATGTTTTTCTTCCCTGCTGTAAACAACATGGACAGCCGCTCTGTCCATTACAAGCAAGTGCACAGACGTTCTTATCTGGTGAAATAGCTGCATCCTGAGTTACCCGTTCTGTGGCTTCACTTTTGTATCTTGTGACGTCTTTTGGTGACTGATACGAGTAAGGTTTCTTCTGTACAGAGAGGGTGGCACAGAAGACACTGACATTTCTCAAAGTCAGGCAGGTACTTCTGAATTGGCCTGCGCAGATCAGGGCAACCCTATTGGATTTTGTTAAAGCTTCTAACTTTCCAAAGGAATTGGCAAGTCCAGATTTCCTGTCAGAGCTTTGTGTATCAGTTCTTAAAGGTAATCTCTGTGCCTGCATTATCTGACCTCTTAGGAACATGAAACTAATCAAAGGTTGTAACAGTGACAGTGCTTCAGCACTAAATTTCACAACTTCCTAGATCTACATCTAATTTAAAATGAGTTTGTATTCCCTTGATAAAGAGATCTGCCCTTTGTTCCCCTTAAGAATTTAGATAATTGCACATTCATATTTATGTATCACTCATCTTGCATGTTTCAAGCAGCACCTTCTGACAGGTCCCATTTGTCTATAGAACAGGTAGGCCACCTGTCATGGGAGACCCAAGGCCTGGCCTCTGCCATGACTGCAGTCTTATTTCTGTTTCCTAATCCTGCATAGTCTGATTCTCTGGCTTTGTGGGTGTATGGCTATTTCCCTTTCTGTGACTTTCCTCAGTGTTCTTCCACCCAAAACCATTAGGGAATGGTTCTGTTCACAGTGCAGCTTTGCGCCTTTGAAACATGCCTTTCTTCCTGTCAGAGGTGATTACTTCAAAAGCTCTGTTGTAAAGTGACTTCCTCTTGAGAAGGATTGCACTACTTCAAGAGAACTTTTGATGTATTGTTCCAAACATGTCTCCTGTTACATTGGATTACATCCTGCCTGAAGGCAGGGGTGGGTTCCTCACCTGTGCCAGTGACTATCTACTGAGTCAGTGCACATTTTCTCTCGCCTTCCTTTTTTTTTTTTTTTTAAATGAAATTAGTCATCTGAGTACATTGTTTTGACAATGTTGCATAACTCCCATTGATTACTGTGTGTATCATTTGTATGCATGGGTACATGAACATGTGTGCATACATGATTTTTTTTCAGAACTAAAAATCAAGTTGCAGACTTGATGCCTCTTTACTCAAATACTTCAGTGTGTATTTCTTAAATAGAAGGGCTTTCCCTGAAACAGTCGCAGCTTTGTGATCAAAATTAGATCTTCTGATTCAGATTTTATTCATTAAATCTGAATCTGTAGACCTTGTTTATTAGATCTATGTCTATAGATCTAATGCATATTTTAAATGCACAATGGAGGGTTTCTTGTATAATTTAATTCTTGGCAGTATCTTCCAATGTGATAGTTTGTACAATCTCTTGAGTCCAGAAGCAAGATGGTGGGACATAATTAGAAAGTATTTCCTGTATCTAAGGAAACGAAAGTTTCAAATAATTTTTCTATCTATGCATTACTTCTTGAGACATCTAGAGCTTGCTGTTTTACAAAAATTGTTTGGCAAACTATTGGCTTCACATTACATCCATTAAAATCTATAGAAAATAACAAATCTTCAGAATATGATTTTAACATTTTAGTGTATTTTAATTGGAAATATGAGTTGATTTTGTTGTTGTTTCTCAGTTAGCACAACTCTTTGTTTTAGTTTTTAAACTTGGGAATTAAAAAAGAATGAGGCAGATTAACAGCAAACTCTGGCATGAGAATTACTATGTAAAGTCCTGGTAAAAAACTGGCCTTCATTCCTTTTGCTTAAACATTTTTGCATTCATACTTTCAGTGCCTGAAGTGCAGTCAAAAAATAAGTTTAGAGCAAGAAGTTACATGAGTACTTTTAGGATGTAAAATAAGGTAAAACCCATAGAAGACTTAAGCAGTACATACACACCTGATGTTCATGCATCTTTTTCCGAACTCAGTAGGAGTAAAACAAGCTTGAGCTGAGAGAACATTTCCGAAATCACACCTCCTCTCCTGCCCTGCTGTGTCCATTAGACTGTACTTCGGCAAATTGACAATGCGTCTTTAGAAATGACCCTAAATTTTATTTTCAGAATTAAAAGTGATAAAAAATAGATAGCTTTTAGGAACTAGTTCCTGACTTCCATTATTAAATACGTAATTGTAGCAGTTCAGAACTTCTTCCCCTTGATCCTTTCCACAGTCAATAGCAATCATGGTTAGCTTAATTTCCTTTTCTTCCAGTTTTTTTTGTGCCCCTGGATCTTTGTTTATTTTCATGTCCACATTGACTTAGATGTTACATTAACTTGTACAGTTTACTGTACTTTCCAAAATAATACTCATACTGTAGTTGATAAACTAATAGAATTTGACTTAGCGTCTGCATTTAAAATTCTCTTAACTCCATGGCTATCCCAGTATTACAGTTCTGTTTAAAAATTGCATTTTAAATTGTTATATTGAATGAAAATTAATATATCATATAAAATGATAGTTTGCATTTAAGTAACCATGCAATAGTTCCTTTTGTATATATGTCACAAGAATTACATCATTTGGCTACCACATACCCTGTTAATCCTGAGTTAAAATGTTACCTTACCCTGCTTTTAGCTGGGGAACATGGGGTACAGTATGGTTTAGTTATTTGTTCCCAGTTAATGATGGAGGCATTATCAGAACCCAGAGTCTTTGATCTCTAATTCCACACTCTTGGGAGCCACATAGTCCTAAGGATACACAGGAAGATTCTTAACTCTGTCTGGCAGGATGAATAGAGAGTTGAAGAAGAGTGTCAGGAGAAGCTGTACTAAAGAGAAACTGGGTTAGCTAGACAGGGTGCCATTTAGTTAAATAATATTGTTATCATTTTATATATATTACATCTTTCTTCATTTTGTATATTTTTTCATCTCAGTTGTAATCCCTGTGGACTTCCCACCACCGTGTGATGGCTTCGCCCAGGTGCCATCACCATAGTCCTGTGCACTCTCCCCACCCCCAGTTTTGTGTAGTTAAATATTCTTAACACAGAATGTGTTTTGATACTTTTTCCCCTTCTGCTCTTGAGAAAGAACATCTTCCTTCTTGGTTTAGTTGGGCCAACATTTTTGGTTGTCATTTGCCTTAACATGGCCCAGGCCTTCATTAGAACTTATGATAAACTTCCCTTTTTTATGGAGTTTATTGATCTATCCTTACTGGTTCTCTTTCTCACTGCCCACTGGGGTCTTCAATATGCTGAAGTCTGGCTTCTTGTATAGCACTCTCTGTGAGGTAGGCAGTTAATTCCTTACAAAGAAAAGCAGATACCTTTTCAGCCCTATTTTCCTAGTTCTTGGTGCTATTATTAATAGTGGCTCTTTTTTTTTTTTTAAATATTTATTTATTCATACAGAACTGGGGTACAGGCCAGAGATGTGGAGGGTGAGCGGATTCACCAGAGACAGAGTGGGGAACAGAACAGGCAGATGATCAAAGTACACTGCTGAGGGGAGCAGCGGGCGGGTCAGGAGAGGTCTGCCACGCCATGTGGTCACCTCCGGGGCAGGCGGGATTGAACCCATGCGGAAGTGGCTTTAGCTTCTCAGTGCAGTGCTTCAACCCGCTGCGCCACCAGGGAGGGCCAATAGTGGCTCATTTTTAATAATGGCGCTGTATCTTTTAGAAATGCTCTTCCCCTTTCCTGTTTTATACCCCATCTCTTCAAATTCACTTCATTATTGTCATGGAACTGTCTGTATCCACCTTCCTGAAAATTTTAAGTTTTCTATGATTTTATATTTGGTTACTATACATTTTCAACTACTCTTTGCATCCTAAAGGCTTTAAAGACCTTTCCCTGATTCCAGCATGCAAATCCAGGGTGAACTACCTAGTAGGTATTTCTGCTTAGATTTCTAGCAGGTATCTCTCATTTGGTATATCTAAAAGGGAACAGGTACATTCAAACTTACTACTTTATTTCCTTTTAAATAAAAATGAGCATTACTACCCACCTTGTAATCAAAGCTAGAAATGATCAATCCAGTTGTAGTTCTCTGTGCATACCATCCATCAGTTTGTTTATCAGTTTGTTTTTCCTCCCTCATCCATCTCTGGCTCTTTCATTCTACTACTGTTCTGCTTTTGGCCATGCTCATCTAACAGACAGTCAGCAGTGTCCTGACTGGTATCCTGCCTCTTCCAGCCCTTTCTTAAATCTATCTTTTACAGTAATCAGAATGAAAAATTCAAATACAATTATATGCATCTCCTAAAACCATTGACCTCTCTTCACCATCAACTCCGAAGTCAAAGCTCAGGAAACCTTTTTGAAAAGGCTAGATAATAATTGGGGTTTAGAGACCAGATGGTCTCTGCTGCAACTCAGCTGTGTTCTTGTAGTTAGAAACTGCCACAGGCAATTCGTAAGTGAATGGGTGTGATTGTGTTTCAAGAAAACCTTTTTAAATAAAGAATTGGTGATCTGCATTTGGCCTGAAGGGGCTCCATACTACCTCTTAAAAGAAGAATTTTACATCACCCCAGTCCCCCACCTTCATCAGTCCCAGTTTCAATTTCATGCTAATGCTATGTGTAGATCTAACTCTTGGCTGCTTCAGAATTGCAACTCAGTACATGTGTCTGCTCTTTGACCATCAATGTCATAGTTATTTTGTGTACATTCCTTCTTACTAGCATGTACATTTTTGAGAATAAAGCGTATGGCAACATTTTTATCCTGTGCAGCAATAGCATTCTTCAACCACAAAGCAGGATATTAATAAATGTCTTAGAATCCAGCCATTTAGTATTTTTGAAAACTAAAGTTGTGATATAACTTAACTTATTCTTTGTTTTACTTTGAATTATTAGAGACCAGTAAGAAATGGTGTGTTTTGGAAGGAGGCTTCTTGAGTTACTATGAAAATGATAAGTCTACTGCACCCAATGGCACCATTAATATCAATGAAGTGATCTGCCTGGCTGTACACAAAGAAGACTTCTATTTAAACACTGGGTAGGTCTACTCCCAACTAGGAGAAGAAGGACATGCTGATTTTGCTATAGCAAGTAATAAGGGTATTGTTATTTCAAATCCCTTGTTTCTTCTTTTAGACCAGTTTAACGGCTTCTTAAAACCTTAATCTTGCACCTTCTGTAGGTTAGGAGATACACTGAAATATAGGAAAATTAGGACCCTTCCTGGTGGCACAGCAGGTTAAAGCACAGCACTAAGAAGCTAAAGCCACTTCAGCATGAGTTCGATCCCCAGCCCGGAGGTGACCACATGGCATGAAGGACCTCTTCTGACTCACCCGCTGCTCTCCTCAGCAGTGTACTTCATCGATCTGCCTATTCTGCACCCCACGCTGCTGGTGAATCCTTTCACCTCCCCTGCACCTCTGGCTTGTATTCCAGCTCTGTATGCATAAATAAATAAATCTTTTTAAAAAATGTAGGAAAATTAAATTTTATGCTAAATAATATGAGAGAATATACTGTCTGTATCTAAGTTTTAAGCAAATTTAGAACATTCCATTCTTGAGCAAGTAGTCCTATAATTTTTGTGATTATATCATTAATTAAAATAAATGGTGGACTGAGGAAAATTTTATACATTCTTTAAATTCATTAATTTGTTGTGGATAAAATAGATGATAAAGGAAAGTATTTTTTAATGATTTTGTTCATAGAAAAATAAAATACAAAGTACAATTAATAGCATATTGAAATGTTACATTCTTTGAAGATCTACTTTGGCTTCTTAATAGTCTCTAGGAATTGCAATTAAGAATAAGCATTATTTATTTAATATACTTGACCTATGAATAGTTTAATCGAATTTCTGTGAGAACTTTTGGAAACACACAGTCTAAGATCTTTGTTGTAAAAGTTTCTCATTACATTTTGTAATAAAATAATATAAAATTACAAATAATAAAATATACAAAAATTAGTTATAATAGTATAGCACTTAATAAAATATTTTATTAGAAATGAATGGAAGAATTTTTCAAAACTGGTATGTAAAATTACATAAATATTAGTATTATTAAAATGATCAGTATTATTGAAATGACTATTTTCTAGTAAACCCAATTTGAGTTTTTTGTGGACAAACTTATAGTTGACTTGCTTTTGTTTTAATCTTTAATAGTACTTTTGTTTTAAATGAGTAACTGATTTACTGTGGCTGAATGTTAAAATAAATGTATTTTGTTCAGTGAGTTGCATAATGAGCAAATAAAATGCAGTATATACATTTAATATTGGTTTATATCAGCATGTAATCACATTCAGAAGTAAAACATTTTTAAGTGTAACTGATACAAGTAGATATGCAGATGTTGTTAAAAACTAATTGTTGTTGGGGCCTCCCTGGTGGCCTAAAGGTTAAGTAACAACTTTATCACCACTGTGGCTGGAGTTTAACCCCTGCCAGGGAGCAAACCCACACATGGTGCAGCAGACCTCTCCTGTCTCACCTGCTGTACCCTTCCACAGTATATTTCAATAAATCTGCCTGTCCTGCTCCTGTTTCTGGTGAATTCTTTCACCAGCCCCCTCATCTAAAACCTACACTCCAGTTCTGCTATGCAAATAAGTAAATAATTGCTGCCAACAAATTTTGAATTGTCTTAAGAATCATCTAGGGTTTGAATCCAGTAATGCATAACTGAGAAGTTATGCAAGCTTTATTTTAGAAAGAAAGCTGGCTGAAGTAATAAAGTAAAGATTAAAGGATGAAAAAGCACACTTACTGAAAGTTTAACTAGAGGGAGTAATAATTTAAAAGAAAAACAGTCCAGAGAATCTTACAATTGAAGTAATTTAACTGGATAAGGAACTAAAATTAAGCATGTCAAAAGTTCAGAAATAGTCAGAGTCATCTAGGTAATAATTAATTTTTAGTGACCATACCAAAAAGAGAGTTTGTGAACTGGAAGCACTCAAAACAAAGCATGAAATGCAATTCATGGGTATAGAGTATTAAGTGGTTTATACACTAGAAAAAGACTTTTAAAATCAGTTGTTATGAAAGCATATTTTATATAATTTTCATATCAACCTGGGGAAATAGCTTAAGTTTTGCTTGTAATTTCCAAAGATACCAAAAATAAATGACCCAGATCAATTAGTACTGTAAAAGAAGATAAATTAAATTGTCTGTGTATGATTGGTATAATTTTGTTGGCTCAAGGTATTTTCAAGGCTGGTGTCTATGTGTTTTGACCTGGAGAAGGTTTTAAATTTGCTGATTAGGTAGATGGTAATGACTCTAAATTGGAATGTGAAGAAAATACAACAGGTTTGAGGTTAAAAAGGATAGGATCCTCCCTGGTGGCGCAGCGGGTTAAAGCACTGCACTATGAAGCTTAAGCCACTTCCTCATGAGTTCGAATTCCCGCCTGCCCTGGAGGAGTCCACATGGCGAGGCAGACCTCTCCTGACCTGCCCGCTGCTCCCCTCAGCAGTGTACTTCGTTGATCTGCCTGTTCTACTCCCCACTCTGTCTCTGGTGAATCCTCTCACCCTCTGCATCTCTGGCCTGTACCCCAGTTCTATGTGAATAATAAATCTTTAAAAAAAAGAAGAAGAAAGATGACTGTGATGTAAGGTATTTTGATTTTTGTAGTGATAGTTTTTGTAAGGTTTACATACTGCGTTGATCTGCCTGTTCTGCTCCCCACTCTGTCTCTGGTGAATCCTCTCACCCTCTGCATCTCTGGCCTGTACCCCAGTTCTATGTGAATAATAAATCTTTAAAAAAAAGAAGAAGAAAGATGACTGTGATGTAAGGTATTTTGATTTTTGTAGTGATAGTTTTTGTAAGGTTTACATACTTAGAATATTCCAGAAGTAGTTGGAGCTGTGGATAAGGAACTTAAGGAAAAATTCAGGATATGGCTGATTACTCAAAGTTTACGTATAGTAAAGAGATGAAATTCTAGGATAAAAGGTGTAAAGTAAGACTGTATAGACCATATCTGCTTTGAAAAATTGGCCGGAACAACTGAAAGCATTGGTCTCAAAGTGAAGACAAAACTGCCATGAGTGTTACTGATTTTGAATCAGCAAAATCAGTAGTTTATTGAGTATAGCTTAATAATTAAAAAAGAAGATTAAAGTGGTCAAATAATCAGAAGAATTACCATTCATCTGAACCATTGTGTACCATTTAACTCGTCTGAATAAAATACAGATTACCACCAGATAAATGCAGATAGGTAGATTTCTTGGTCTTATCTAGTTTTCAAAAAATTAAACATTTTACTTTCATGTTACTTGTTTTCATAAGAACTAAATATAACTGATGGTATCTTCTATTCATGCCGTGTAGGCCCATCTTTACCTTTGAAATCTATTTACCTTCAGAACGTGCCTTTTTATTTGGAGCTGAAACATCTCAAACTCAAAGAAAATGGACAGAGGCAATAGCCAAGGTATTTCAATATTTAGATCACCCTCAATCCAGGGAAAATTCCAAACTTGTGATTTGTGGTGGAGCTTCAGAAGTCTACGTAAATTTTATACAAGATTCTGGGACTACTGTATTAGGTTTTTGGAATTTATAGCCAGAAGTTAATATCTCCCTTCATAAAGCCCGAAGCAAAGAGGAAATTATAAGAACCCTGGGGGAAATCATTATTTGAATTAAGCCCATGTTTTGATGATTGAGACCTTGTTAATATTTTAAAGTCACTTTTAGGTATACCCTTTTATAGGCAGGTATTTTATTTATTATATACAAAAAGGGAAAGAAACAGATTCAATAAAATATCCAAATAGAGTCAAACATTGAAGGCTGGTGTTTTGAAAAAATGCCACAAATCAACAAAGAGAATGTCTCAAGAAAAGAGGTTTAAGATGCTGTCATTTGAAAATGCATTCTGGCTATTCAGCTTTCAGACTGATAGCAAGTTTACTTGCTTTGGGTTATGTTACATGTGTGTGGCTACATCTTAAAAATAAGTTTTTGTATAGATAGGGGTGAGATTTCCTATTTGCACTGTCTTTATTATTTTTCTTCATTTGTTTTAACAGCATTTTGTTCCCTTTGTTGCTGAAAACTTAACAGAAGCTGACTATGATTTGATTGGTCAACTTTACTACAAAGATTGCCATGCCCTGGATCAGTGGAGAAAAGGCTGGTTTGCTATGGACAAATCTAGTTTGCGTTTTTGCCTTCAAATACAAGAATTTCAGGAAGATAGAATGCACTTACGAAGACTGCAAGAACTGAGTAAGCTTTCTTGCCTCTCTCATCGTTATTTTGGACATAATTTTGTATTGTGCATGCCAGTAGAAGATTATACATAAAATTATGGCTCACTCTTGAACACATAAGTATTAATAATTGTGTCTCTAAGGATATTTAATGTTTAAAAGATATGTTCATGTTTCCTCCTTCCCTTCAGCAATAAGCACAATGGTTCAAAATGGAGAAAAATTGGATGTCTTGCTGTTAGTTGAAAAAGGAAGGTAAGTGCAGTTTGTTTTTTTACCTATTAATGGCACAAATATAGAGGGTGGGGAATTTGATTATCTTCTTTGGGGAGAACCCATTGATTATAGACTGTGAAATATCTGAGTCACATCTGTGTGTGTCTCTGTGTGTATATGCTTCAGTAGAAAGAGTATACTGATAAAGCTGGTATGTTTTTATACTTCTTACAACAAATCCAGTGATCAGTTTATTAGAGTTTTCTGCATGGACCTATAGCTCTTTGGGATAGTCACATGACTGTATTTAAGTGTTTGGAACACTGTATTTATTTACACACACACACACATACATAGACAGTCTCTCACCTATATTCATTATAGGTATATATTTAGTAGAGGGATATGGTGGGTATAAGTAAAATGCCAAATTATATGTCTGTGAGTCATGCATAGCTCAACTTGATTCTTAAATTTATATTCAATTTCCCTAAAAGACCAGGTATCTGTTATGCATCATGTATTGTTAATTGGAATTGCGTTAGAGTGATGAATGAAGTAGACACTGTCCCTGGCCTCATAAAATGTGAGCATTACTATAGGACATGGAATATAAACAAAAAATAATTTTTGTGGTATTGTGTCTATCAGTTTTAACTGCTTGAAGAAAACAAGGGAAAGGTGCAGGGCCTAGTGAGCAGTATTCTGTTTTTGATAGGGTGGTAAATGAAGTATCTTTGCTAAAAGCTTACAACAATGAAATTGGCAAATCTGAATAGATTCTTCTTGACACAAGGTCAATGATATCTTGAAGATATTAAGTGTGTGTTATACTTGGTGTGTTCAAAGTCTGCTGGAGAGTTGCCTTGACAGGTGAGATTGGTATGAATGGAGAGTGGGAAGAAATGATTGCATAGATATTCTAGGCTTGATCATATAAAGTCCTTACAGATCGCAATATGTACATTCTGAATTTTATTCTAAGCATAATGGGGGACTGCTCAGTTTGAGATTCAGAAAGTGAAGTCATTTGACCACTGCTCTGCTTTTAAAGGACTGCTCTAACTTCAGATGAATAGGCTTTTGGGGGTGAGGGCAAGAGTGAAAGCAAGTGTCCATTCACTGCTTCTGCAGAGATCAACTAAGAGATGACTTACCTGATAACATAGTGCTGAGGAGTGGGTGGATACATTAGGAAAGCTGAGGTGAGAGGATCTGTTGATGGATTAGATGAGTGCAAGAGTTAAGAACCTCAAGTTTGGGCTCTCCTTGGTGGCACAGTGGGGTAAAGCACAGCACCAAGAAGCTTAAGCCACTTTCACATGGGTTTGATTCCCATCTGCCTCAGAGGAGATCCACATGGCGCTGCGGGTCTCTCCTGACCCGCGCGCTGCTCCCCTCAGCAGTGTACTTCGTCAATCTTCCTGTTCTGCTCCCGGCTCTGTCTCTGGTGAATCCTCTCACCCTCTGCATCTCTGGCCTGTACCCCACTTCTGTATGAATAAATAAATCTTTAAAAAAAAAACCTCAAGTTTTGATCTGAATAATAACAGAAATGATGGTGCTGGCTTTTGCAATAAACACATGGAGGCAGAGTAGAGAGATGCTATCAGTAAGGTTAGGGTGCTATCAGTAATGAACTTGATTTTGGGAGTGATAACTTTGAGATATTTATTTCATAGCAAACTAGTGATGGTGGGTAGATATTTGAATATACAAATCTGGAATTAAGTGGTGATGTTTTAGTTAGAGATAAAGACTTGAGAATCATCATGATATAGATGTTCCTTAACCTAAGAATTGGGCAGGTTCACTTACATGAAGTATAGGTAGAGATTTAAGGTTGTAACTTAGGGTCACCAGTATTTAGAGGTCAGGAAGCGGTGGATGATCTAGAAAGATGGCTTGGGAAGGAGCAGCTAGGGTCACATCACAATAATTACAGAGTATAGTCTCCAGACAAATTGTTTTTCTTTGTTTCTTATCATTTGTTTTATAATCCCTCATTTATATGGATTTAGTTATGCAAGAATAAAAGATCATTTGCAGTAAGTATATATTATATATTTACACATACATACACCTACAGTAATACAAAAATAAAATAAAATTGAACTTCCCTGAGGGGAAGTACTGACAAGAATAATGATTTTCAGTGGTTACCTGAACCTGTCTTTTCTGTGACTTTAGGGGAGGACATAACGGACAATAGACATCAAGCATATTGCTGACTAGATTCTTAGGTCTTAGTGTTATTGTTAATGTACAGGCATACTTAGGATTTTCTGTTTTTTTTATTTATTCCTGTGATTATCATGGTTATTGCACTTTAAATTATGATGCCTTGTGCTATATAATGATTTCCCTCTACTACCAGGGTGCTATTAATGTTATGTTCAGAAATAACAAGGCAGTAGATATGTATAGGTGGTAGTATTGGTTAAAGTACTAGCACAAGTGCAGTTTTTAACTGTCATCTATTTATATTTAATAATATAGCTAATATTTATAATTCATCTGCTGCATTTTCCTCCATGGCAGGAAAAAATGGTCAACAATGCAGACTTGGTATCTGAATTAATGAGTTTGTTTTAAATAAATAAACAAACAAGTAAGTTGTAGTTGCTATGTTGTGTTTATTTTTTTTACATTTATGTTCAGATCACTATAGTCAGTGCATTTTTCTGTCATTCTTAGTCTGAAGGGGTTTATCAGTGGTGCTTAGATTTTAAATTAAAATGTAGCAAACATGGATTAGAATTATTCAATTGTTAAGTGCTCATCTAATGCTTATTGCATGTAGCTACATTGCCATATGAGTGCAAGAAATGATAATCCAAATGTTCCATAATTTTGTAATATCTGACATGGCTCTTAGATAATAGCAACCAGAAGTTAATCTGAGCTCATGGAATAGTTGATAACCAGTGCAAATCCAGAATAATAGTTAAAATTGCTTATCATATTTTTATAGTTATTTCACAATTTATATGTATTACTAACAAGTTATGTTGAAGGCATTTGAAAAGAAGAAGAAAGCTTGCAGGATGGGGGTAATTGCAAAGCCCAAAAGAGAGCATTTCAATAAGGAAGAAAGTTTGTCAAAAAGGCCCCTTGCTCTCAAGGGCACAGGTCTGAGAAAGACAGATGCTCCTTGGATAAGTGGTACAGATTCCATCTGTGACTTTGAGGAAAGCAGAATTGATAGAAAACTCGATTAGATGGTTTGGGAACTGAGAAAACTGAAACAGCTGGTGAGGACAGTAGTCAGGGGTGTTACAGATAAATAGAGATAGCCGGTGAGAAGGAGTTGACCCTGGAAGGGTACATGTGTGTGATTTTTTTTTGATATGGATTGAACTTGTGCAAGTTTAAAATTGTGATGGGGAAGAGGCACAGGGAGAAATGTGATGTGTAAGAGTGAGGACAGTAAGAGAGCAAGGTCCTCACTTCTGAGAAGAGAAGAGGAGTTAAAAGATGTTTCTGGAAGAGAAGAGGAGTTAAAAGATGTTTCTGGGTGCGATGTTGAGACAGATACCCATCTGATGGCTTTCAGTTGCTTTGTGAGCTAGCACATAAGGATGACTCCTCAACTTAGCACAGAGTTTATTAATGATTATACCATTCACCAAGATGGGAAATATGTACTTCTCTCCCGGTAGGTGAAAAAAAAAAATCTAGTTAATTATAGGTGTGATTGTTTAAGCGCTGTTTTAATACCATGTCAAAGTAAGAGAATTTTCAGTGCATGCTCTCATTTTCATATCTCTTTTGATCTATTAGTCCTTTGGGAAATAATGACTACAAGCTAAAATAGATTGTATTAGGCTTGTCAAGGCAGATAAAATTGTGCTTTTAGGAAATAAAACTTCCAGTTATTCATGTTGATGGAATATAAAGATAGTGTGAACAGTTGAAAGAGAGAACCAGCCAACTCTAAACTTTAACCTTTATTTTTTCGCTAATAATAGCTTAAACCAGAATTGCAAATTATAAATATATTTAATGAATTATTTTAAATCGTATCCTTATCTTTGTCTAACTTTGATGAGAATGCTAAAATATGCTAATGGGTTCTCAAGGCAAAGAGAAGGGAGACCCATCTGACCTGGAAAAGTTAAAACATTGATAATCATTCATTGCCTATAGCTTTGCTCATTATATAGATATGTATATACATATATTATCTTGGTAATTTTCTCTATATGCATAGGAGTGTGTTTAGACAAAAATATTGCAATAATATTTTCCACACACAAAGCATTTTTGCTCTAAAAACCTCTAAACAGAAGGTGTTCCAGATGGTGTCTCTTTAATGTGTAGTCTTTGTATACTTTAAAAATTATTATTTTGGAAAATAAAGCTTTCTTGATTACACTTAAGGTTTCTGGCATGCTCTTTGAAGCAATTACTGGGATTTAGAGTCTGTGTTTTTTTAAAACTTTAGGATTTCTTTGTGTGTTTTTTGAATTTCTATTGTTAGTCAGTGAATGTTCTGAGTCACAAGGTCAGAGGCATTTTCCTGGACAAAAGGTTAGATATCCACTTTGACTGAAATGTTCACTAAATTACAACATCCTTTTCTTAAAAGTTGAAAACTATTTCTGCACTTTAGCCACATTCCCTGTGTATCTCTTTCTGATAAATCAGCAGTGTGTTCGCCATCCTTACCTTTATCCCTTCATGCCCTTTTGTCAAAGACACTTCTTATTAAGCTTTCATTGAAAGGTCATTAGCTGTAACAAATACAGTATGAGTAACTCAGCGATGTTCTGAGAAACAGAAAAATATTGGTATTAAAAAAAAATATTTCCTAGTGACCTGGAGTGAAGCATAATGCACTTGAGTTCCCAAATTGGCTGCTTTTAATTTTAATTGCAAATTCCACACATAATAGAGCTAAGGACATTTTATCAATATGTCCCACAACTATAGAGAGCAGGCTACTTTTCTCAATTTGGGAGATTAACACTCTAACTTTAAGATTCTTATTTCACATCAAGTTACTATCTGTGATATTTTCCCCTCCTTGAATACTG